TGCCTGAGCCTTTTGACTTTGTCCAGTAAGATACATAGTTCATATAATGATAGGGAAAATGTAAAGCAATCGAGCCAGGGCTGGATACGTACCAAAACATTGCCACAAATTGGAAACTGATAGTACCTAGGGGCTTTATTTCCTCTGAACCATACCCTGAAACTTCATCTGGGGCAATTTCTTCCACTTGTTCTAAATTTTTAAGTCCAGGGAAATGAAAGGGGAAGAACCAGTTGGTTTTCAATCTGTGAGAGAGAAATCAGCAAAAAATAATATATTCATCCAGTTTCATGAAGTATCAGGACAGAGAACTAGTTTCAATTAAATGTGTTTAAGTAGTTACCCTCTTCTAAAAATTAGCAGAAATGGAGTTCTCTAGCTTGGGTACAGACTGAAAAAAAGAAAAAAAATGTTTTTAGTTTCATGATTAATTTCATATTTTTCTAGAGAACTTGGTGAAATTCCAACGTTGAAGACTCTTCAGGTGTTTGGGATAGTGACTGACAGCTCCCTGCAGCTCCTAGAGGAGGCACTGCCTGCAGTGAAGATCAATCGTTCACACTTTACACCCATTGCAAGGCCAACTGTTGGCAGCAAAAAGGACCATGAGATTTGGGGAATCAAATGCAGATTGACATTGAGAAATCCTAATTTCTTATGATATGTACAGTGCACTGGATGCAATGGACACACTGTGCATTGAAGCTCCTTAAGAAACAAAGTGCTGGAGCACCTTTAATCATAGTACTGTTATTGTAAAAAGCATTCTAATTTGGTCTTACACCTTAATGATGTTTCATAGTATTTTTTAGCATTGTTTGTACTTCAAGCCTTTAGAGATCTGATGATCTGTGAGCAATTGTAGAATTTTTCAGGCTTTTTTTTTTTCTTTATACAGGGGATCTTTGAAAAACTTCCAGTTAACTCCTGGAAGAGTTAATGCCTCTTAGATAACCTTTGCAAGCTGTTCCTTAACTCCTGGAACAGCTTGCAGAGGTGCTAGGTATCTTAATAAGGTTTATAAAGGAATTTGCAGAGCTCAAAGTGAATAAGATATTAAACCTATTCAACTACTTAATTGAACAAAATGCACAGTAAGATGAGAAGCTCTGAGCATAACAGAGGACTGAGTCTGAATTAATCAAACTTGAAAACAGTAACTTGGGGATGTCTACACTAAAGCAGCTAAGAGAGCTCAATACTGTACAAGTTAGGAGGAGCATAAAGGAGCTACATTAAAGTTTTTACTTAGCAGGCCACAAATGATACTTTTGTCTTCAGTATTGTGCACTGCTAGCAAAATACAGTCTGAGAAGCCCATTCAGAATTAGCATCTGTAAAAATAGATGTTGGTTGTCCATGCTGGTTTCATGTGGTAGTGCTAGGTTTTCTGATTAAATGTTACAGAACCTTAGTGTAGCTTCTGTGAGTCTAAACTCAGATAAAATTTCCTCCAAAGAACAAGATCTTTCAACTGCAACTGATACAGTGGTAAAAATACTGCAGGAGGAGGGCTCAAATGGTTCTAGATATGACCAAAAACCCAAAACATGGAACTGCAGCATAAGAATGCTGGAGGGAAGAGATGCTTTGGTGCTAGCAAGAAACATCAATTTTCTTTTGTAATAGTTTATGTTTGTAGTAGCACTTCACTTTTTGTATCTGTATCGCTAACCACTGTTGTCTAGTGTGGATTTTTTTTTTTTTTTAAAGTCATAGAAAAAGCTGAGTAACTGTCCAAAAAAATTAAAAAAAACCAAACCAAATAAAAGGATAGGGACAAGTAATGACCTTAACTGAAACTTTCATCTGCATCTATTATCAGGGTCCTTGTGCTTCAGGCTAGAATGTTCCAAAAGGTGTTCTATCCGATAAGTTCTAGGACAAAACTTGGACCCTCTGTGTAGGGCATAAATATGCTGTTGTTTTTCACATGAATGCAGTCAGCAAGCAGGTGAATTTATTAATGGATGTTTAAGAGTAGCCTACGGCATTACTGCAGGGCTGTTGCGTAGGTACAGTTTTTCCTATTGCAGTCTGAAGAAAAGCATTCAGGTATTAATTATCTGGTGATGCAGAACACCTTACTTATGGGAAGATTGTATTAGTACTAGAATTTGATATTTAATTTGACTTTCTAGAGTACAGTAAATAAAACACATTATCATGCTAATCTGTTTTAAGTTGTTTTGGTTTTTATTCAGTTTAACAGTGTAAGTAACAGTTGATTCTTTAATGGGCTTGTGTCCCTTACAAAGATGTTAATGGGCAACATACCTTGTGAAAACTGGAGAAGTAAGGGGATTTGGATATTCTGCTGCTTCACCATTTGCTGCCTTAGTTTTAAGCCTTAAATTACTTCAAGGGAAAAAAGTAAATCTATGCAGCTTAGCACTACCATAAATACTTCTCCCTGTGCACAATGTAACTCCATGCACCTTCTGTTGCATTTAATAAAGATCTAAGAAATTGCTATGTTGTACAAAAAGACTGATTAATGGGAGAATGCTTTCCCTAATTTCCCCCCAACTTTGTGTAAAGGGTTACAAAGAGGGGAATTTACCCAACCAATGTGTAAACATGGTGTTATCATGAATACATTTAGCATTTACTAGACTGTGCTTTAAAACCATCTACAGAATTGGGACAGGAGTATGGGTTTAGCTAGATGGAATAGTCCTGAACTACTTTCAGCTACCAGGTTCAGTGCTGGACTATCACCCATCTGTTGGTTACGGTGGCAGCTGTAGCAGACACACAGTGGAAGTCCCTGGGGTTAAGGTGCACCACTGACCTCTTATTAATTTATTTTCTCACTCTTGTGCAATTCATACCAAAAACTGCTACATAGCAGTCTCTGCATTATACCTAAAAGCATGAAGGCTTACAAACCACTAAAAGAACCTGAACAATAACAGAAGAAGCTGAGTGCATGAAACACTTTTGAAAGTCGAAATAAGGCACAGGAGAGCTTCATTTATCAATTAACCTTTTCATTTTTATTACATAATGTATAAACACCACGTGGAGAGGAGAAAAAAAAAAAGGCAAAGAATGACAGGTCTAGTTTAGCAGAACACCATGTGGACTGGCACTAAATGAAAAGACCATGGATTTGACTCAGCAGGTAGAAGAGGTGCAAAGATCACCACCAGTCCACGCAGATTAAATCAGTGTTAAACCAATACTCTGTCCTGTCATGGAATACTGTCTACCAGGTAAATTGTACTGTAATCCCTTGCAATAAAGGATCCTTAAAAAGTATTCTACAGTTCTTCAATAAAAAAGGTAGCTGCTTCTCATTTATTATAAATTTCTGAATCATCCTAATTAACTTAAGCATTCACCAGTAAATGCTTCAACAGAAGTGCAATTAAATTATAGACAAAACCAGTAGAGGCCACTCATGAGTAAGTCAGGCTTCCATTTCACTAGGTTAGGAATTTGTGAAAACTTACTAAGTCCTAAACCAGATCATAAGTTGGATCTGTCAGGCCTGAAAACATTGTCTTTTAGTCTTGACATTCATAATAAGGAATGGCAGGCGTGTTTAAGAGGTATGCTTACTGATCAGACTAATCAGTCTCCATTAAAACATTACAGCACACAAATACCTAAATAAGCAGGGGATGACATTTCTGACATAATTTGTCTATGCAGGTGTTCAATACCTAAATCTGATCTAACAGTGGCAAAGTCCTAGGAAGTAATAAATTAGCATTAATGGCACTGGTGGGTTTGGGGGTTTAACAGAATATTGACTGGTGTACTAGGTAGAGGCACATAAACCATCCTTAACTGGTTACTGATGGAGTGACAACTAAAACGCCCTAGTTTGTGTGCACACAACCTTAGAAAGATTAGTCTTTTGCATCTTTACCTTTAGACTAAAGTTTTGCAGATTTTTTTTAGACATTAAAGGCTTTATTCTGATAGCTCCTGAACTTACCAAGTTTTGAAAACTTATTTGGCTACTTTTTTTTCCCCTCTGGCTGTGCAATCATGATAGCCAAACAGTGTAAATAACTCACTTTGCAACACACTTAAAAGGTAAAATGTACACAAACAGTGATAGCTTATTCAGAAATCTCCATCAGTATCACATTTTCCTAGAACTGAATGGTCAAATCAATTTCCTCTAAAGTATGTTTTCATTTTGTATTCACTCAAGTCATAGAAGAAAAAATCCTTTATCTACTTCCTCCACCTATAAAGAGCAGTTCACGTTTTGCAAGTGGCAGTAAATATACTGATTGGCCACAATGGAGAACATTTCCATTAGACCTGAGAACATCTGTTACAGAAGTCTCTCTGCTCAAAAGCAGTTTAAAGAAAACTCACTTTTGGAAGCTAATCTGTAGTAGACAGGACAAAACATACTTTTTTCAAGTCATGTAGTAGAAGAGTTCATGCTGTAGGAATATTAACTTTGTCAAATTCTGCCCTCTCTTCTATGCAATTATCAGCACAGATTTAAAAGGCAGTCACAGTTTACAGTTTCTCCAAAACATTATCAAAAAAGTCACTTCCTCTTCTATAATCAGAACTTTGTTTTTCTATTATCAACTTGCTTACCTAACATGAGCAGAGTACATGTAAAATTCATTTGTTGCCAGTTAAATATCAGTAGAATTCAGCACAGGATTGGAACTTTCTGAGGAAGGTAAAAACATATGGTGAGAAAACTGGAAGACATAGGTATTACCTTGAGCTCCAACTCCTAGTACACAGGATATCTCATTCTTCAATTATAAGAAATTCATAACCTAATATTTCAAACTATTTAACTTAATAAGGCCAAATATCTTTCTTAATGATAGCCACCTACATGCACTAGTGTGACTGAACACCTGTTTACCAGTTAATCCACTCAGTGAAGGAATCTATCTTACTTCAACATGATTTCTATAATTTGTAAATTCCCGTTGAAAGGCTTAAGAAAACCTCTGGGTTTCAAGTCCCTCTCTAGCCAGACAGAAAAAGTAAAAGCTACCTCATTCAAGATGTACTAAACCAGACTTTTACTTCTGATGTAAGCCTACAAAGTAGAAAAAATACTGGAAGAACAAAAAAAAAATTGCCACAAATTGTATGAAACTACAAAGTTGTACAATTTTTGAAAAGCATACAAAAGGTTTGTGTTTCCATTTCTATTACATCAACATCATGGTTTACCAAAACCTATATATCCTTGCATCAAATTGCTAGATCGACAGTCAACTTTTCTACAAAAGTGTATGTATGAAGGTACTTAGTTTCAGTCCCAGACTGTTACTAAAAAAACTGTACATCTGAATATTTAATGCTACTGACTTAATACTTGAACCCAACTACCTGTGTTTAAAAGGCTGTTCTTTCATGTTTGCCTTACAGGTTAAAATGTCAATTTTCACTGAAGTTAGAGGTAACACTTCAGATACATTTCTTTTACACCAGATGCAAAAACAGCTTAAATATCAGGCTAATGTTTCCCCAACCCAAAGGAATGAAAAGCATTTCAAGCTTCCTCTAAATGCTCTTGCATCTGAAAAAGCCAACATCCAGTATAATGCAGCATTGTGATATCCCCATGGTTTCCCTCTATGGATCCATAAATGTTTCAGCAGAAGACACGAGGGTCCTTCATTCTTCCAGCAGAACAGTGCACAGTGCATCCTGTGTGTCAATCAGTATCGACGCTATCGCCCCATCATTAAACTCAAAAGATGTTCCTCCATCCACAACCATACAGGCATCCCAACAGCGGGAACGGACACAGACTCTGCAAAAGCCCAACAACTCAGTTTTCACAAAACAGCTCAAACATTTAAGTATTTCACAGAAGCACTCAATAATAAGACTGGTTTTTGGCCCTTCTTTTGCGTGGGCCAGTAAATGCTTAATCACATACTTAGAGAACTATTTAGCACGGCACCAAGCACTAGAACCACCCCCAGTTATCTCTGCTTTGTGTGGATGTAGCAAAGAGTCCAGGGAGAACTGAAAGACTTGTTCAAATAATTGCTCCCAGAGTCTGAGAACAGCCTATAACTTAATATTTGGTGTTGAAAGCTGCAGTTTAGGTATATTTTTTTAAAAGAAAGCTACTGATGATCCCATTTAATCATGATCTACTTTAATCTTCACAGAAAAGTTTTCAATTAATTTATGATTCTAACGCATTGTCTTCATGTTAAGTGAAACATACAGTTTCAACTAGCAATGTTTGATAGTCAATTAATATAGTCTATTTTGTTACATGAATCATTCAGAGAAAAGGGAAAGTAATTTCAAAGACAAAAGGTGAAGGTCAGAATGCTTGTCAGACAACTTCATGAATAGGTATTGCAGCGTACTGCTGTCAATATTAGTCTGACTACACTACCTTAAAGCTAAGAAATTTAAATCTAAGCTTATAAAATTTAAGGCCTCTCTCTTAGAACCAGACAAGATAGAATAAAGCTACTAACCACCTTTGTCATCACCTACCTTTAAAGGAAAATTAACCATTGAAATTTATCCCTTCATACAGAAAAAAAGAACACTATTAAGTAATGAGTTCTTGGTCTGTACAGTGTTCTGATATCCAAAGTTTAATCAACAATTATGCAGTGACTTAGATTTTCAGGAAGACACATCTTCCAGAAATATGAATACCTTTATGACTTGGTCATACAATGTTGTTGTAACACTGGCTCAAAAAGAGAAGAATTTGGGTCCCCATCGGGTCAGAGCTCCTTTAGACATTTGTTTTGATATAAAAGGTTGAATTAATATTTAATTAATACTGAAATACTGTATTGCTTTCAATTGTTTGTGTTATTGTTTATATGTTCAGTTATTCTGAACATAAAACTAACAGTTGTACATTTTTGTATTTAATTGTGGCAAGCTTCACAAAAATCATAGAATCTTTAGATTGGCAAAGACATGCAAAATTATTAAGTCCAAGCATTAAACTAACACTACCAAGCCCACCACTAAAAATATGGCCCTAAGTGTTTTTTAAATAATTCCAGGGATGATGATCCCCTTCCAGGGAAGATGATTCCACTACTTCACTGGGCAGCTACTTCACTGTACTAATTTCCAGTGCTTGACAGCCCTTTCTGTGAAGAAAATTTTCCTAATATTCAATCTAAACCTCCACTGGCACAAGTGCCCTTAGTTAAAATGATTTAATTACCAAATAATTCAGTTTGGAAGGGCAACCTTCTACTCAAAGCAGGCTTTACTTCAAAGACAGGTTAGGTTGCTTAGGGCCTTGCCCAGTCAAGTTTTGAGTTTCTCCAGGGACAGTGATAGCACAACTTCTGGACAACCTGTTCTATCACCTGACTATTCGCTCTGTGAACATTTTTTCTTCTTTTTTTATCAGAATCTTACATCCTATAAAATCATGACTGTTGCCTCACATTCTGCTCTGAAAAGAGTTTAACTCAGTCTCCTCTGTAACCATCCTCTGGCAGCTGAAGACAGCAACTGGCTCCTCCTGGCTCAGTCTTGCCTCCTCCAGGCCACACAAAAGCACCCTTTGAGTCTCTCCTTTACACACACACGGTGTGTTCTGGCCTCCTCATTCTCTCAGTGGCCCTTTCCTGAATTCACTCCTGTTTGTCAGTGCCTGTGTCTCATAGTGAGGGAAATGGCACACACTCAAAACTGAGCACAGCAAAGTCCTTTTATTCTGTAAGACTGTGGATGGATCAAACATTAAATAGGCATAACACAACTAGGAAACATTTTCCTCCTGCTGTTATGAGAACAATGCTCAAGCCACTCAAAACACAAACTGGATGTTGAAACACTTCAAGGGAAAGTCCTGGATTACTCATACTTTTTGACATACACAGAATGAAATAACTCTTCAATGCTGCAGCCAACACTTACTTTGAAGAGAAGCCACGCTGACGGCTACTCGAGAAAACCCTGTTTACAATAGGTTCTCGAACACTGAAAAACATCTTTGGTTCCTCTGGACTGTAGAGCAGAGACTCATTGAAATCATTTGTTACTGTAAACAGAGAAATCAGCCATTAGGTTTTCCAGGGAAAATTAGTTACTCTCAGAAACACTCACTCCTCCAGGAAAGAGTGGCTTCTCTACCAAAAGGGAATATTGAGTCTTGACAGATGTTTAATAGTCTTCACAGGCAGAAAAACCCCTACTTTTACAGAATATTCCTTTCGGTTCTGCTGCATGATGAACACTTAACAGCCCTCTTCAGGTAATTAAATGTTGTGTTTCAATATGTGTATTAAATAAAGTGTTTCAAATCTTAGGAGAACTGAAATTTTCGTGAAGATTTCTATATATACAGAAACCTAAATAAGTGTTTTCATATCAAGTAAGAAATTTTTTGCCAAATGTGCCTAAATAATGTTTGCAAAAAAGAATATTCTTATTGAAGGGGCGCTAGAATACTGAAAGCAGTGCTCAGTATTAAGAGTAGAAACAAAATGAACTGGTGAAAGTTAAGACACTTTAAAGAAATCCTGCCTTTTTCACTGACCTTTTTGCACTAAGTCCGTGTTCAATGGCATATCCAAACTTCCACGCTTTTTCGCTGTTGAGTCAAGAGCAAGAGCCCCAATTAGGTAAGAGAATGTTTATATAAACTTGGCTAATAATGCCACACTATTCACTCACCGATCTTAAGGATCTCTTCAACAGCTTGATGTGCAACCTTGTTAATATTATAGGACCTAGACAGAGAAGTAGAAGTCTTGTTTGCTGAGCAGTACAACTTGGGAGAAAAACAAAGCAAAAAAACCCTAAAAATTTTGCATACAGACAAAGAACTATGTTCAACATTTGGGAAAAACAAACAAACAATGAGATTAAGTGTGATATCAGTTTCTTCCAAAAAAAAGTCTTAAATTAACTCTTGGTTTGGCATCTACCTGTGGCTTTGCAAACCTTAAAAATCCACTACCTGAAGTCTTCAGGAAAGAGCATGATACATGGGGTGTAGTCTCTTTACCAGTAATCCTCCTGTCTTAACCCAGTAACTGCTGATTTAAGTCTGCATTAAAAAAACTGAAGCATGACAGTTCTACAGATTCAGTGTGTTCTTATCCCATATATCCAACTCTTGCAAATTAATCCTCTCTGTTAGTTTTCATTTATGAACCAAACATTTCTTCACAAATATTATGCCTCTTTGTTTGTACCCTAAAGTGTGGGCTTGAATCTCATAGGAACTGGTGCATATAGAAAAGGGACAGTCAGATCAGACACTTCTGCATTTGACACATTTGGATGAAAAAGTCAGCATAAAGCCTATCAGACTGCAGAGCTGCTGAGCGTGGCTGTCCAAGGCTCCTTCTCTTACATGTACTGCCTACCTGCAAGCCTGATCAGATGCTGGCAAGAAACTGAGATGCACAGTTCGAAATTTTTCTCTCTCTCAACTAGATGTCCTTTTACACAAGTTTTGGCAGCTAAAGACAGCACTTGGACATTTAAATGTCTCTCAGTCCAAGGGGGCCTGAAATTCCAGGAGAGCCCCCAAACCACAGGCTAAGGAAGATCACTCCACTGAGGCTTGGCCTCAGTTTAGAGAAGTCCAGCAACACAGCAATGGACAGGAGCAATCCTAGAGTTTGGTCCCTGGTTCTGGGATTGCTCAGTACAGAGTGTATAAGCAAATGAAATGCTTAAGAACAGCATTGAATTAAGACTGTACTTTCCCAAGGTACTGAACACTAGGAAAGTTTCCTTAGCAGTCTGCCAATTTCATTCTTGGCAGGCTCCAGGACTAAGTTATGCTGACTGAATACAAAATTCTGAATTACAATGAAGAGTAAAACCCAGTAACCATGGTTACAGCATGAATATTCATTTTCGAATTTCATTAAAAGCTTCTGTTGTAGTTCATCTTAGGCTGCCACATAAATCCAGGGCCTATTGTACAACTTTAAACTATGAACACAAATAGATTTCAAGGCTTTCACTGTACATGTCTCTCACATCTCAAAACTAAGTTGATTAGACTTACATGCAGTACTGCAGCTTGTTTAAGCTGAAATTAAAATAATTTACCCCTTTGATTAAGCTAGCACAGTTCTGTGTAGATATTGTCATCTTTGTTTAAGGAGAGTACTTTGGCAAAGAGATTGTGCCCTGTCAATTAAATATGAAAGAAACGAGGCTCGAAAGGAGAATGGACAGTAGATGTGCCAGAGACAACTTAACACTGCTTCCAACTACATGTTTTCCCATTCTTCTTAGAGCTTAGATTTTTATAAGTTTACCAAGCTACATCATCTAAGCATTTCCATTTTAGTCAACAAGAGTAGTTCACAGATCATCCCAGTATGCTCTGCAAGTCAGAACAGAATCTCCTTCCCTCACCACTCCCAATCATTCATCTTCACATGTGGCATTCAACATCTTTCACCAAAATTACACCTACGGTAAAGTTCTGTGTCAGTGCTGCAGCTCCTCACCCTTTCAGTGCTTCTCTCCATACCTACAAGTAATGTGAGCTCTACTGTACTGATATGCCGAGACAGATTTGAACCATGTTGACAGTGAGAATATTTGATATTCACTGACTTACCCCCAGCCCAACAGTCCCAGCACAGACAAAATAGGTAAGCAAAATAGGTCCATCTAGCTTATCTGAAATGATATTTTATATCAAAGCAGCAACATGTACTTACCATGCTTTTGATCCTGTTCCAGTACACACATTAAGCCCTGAACTCTTCTGTTTTTCCCAAGGACCATCATCAACTGATATTTCATAATAGGAGGCCCTATGAAGCGAGAATTTAAAACTGGGTTTGCAGGACTTAAAGTTCTCCCTGAATAAGACAGAACACACAGCCTTATCAGGCACATAACAGTTTAGAGGGGCTAGTTTCAAATCTGGATGACAATTTCACAGACTTTGCACAGTGTTTCCAATTTGACAGCTACTTCTGATTCACTGATTCACTTCTCATATTAATTTATGCATAAAACCACCTCATGGTTTTGGTTCATCTAGGAATCACTTTGTATATAGAAGCAGGATTTGCTGGACTTACAAATAAAACTGTAAATAATTACCTTCCTTGCATAACTGTTGCACTACTGAAAAATTGTGCTTATGCTACCATTAGGTCTCATTAAATTATGTCAGGGAACACTAAGATGTAAGGCACTACAATATAAGTAATAGCATGGTTTGAAGCTGAATTCTTGATCACTTCAATAATTAAAAATCCATTCTTTCAGGAACAGCTTAAAACCATCAGTAGGCTTATATTTCTCTCTAGGGTAAATTCTTCCTAAAACAGAAATGTACTATGTCTTGAGGTACAATCATGTCCTGCATGTTACTGTTCATGTATCAGGGGATTGCTCGTATTGGGTCTAGAGGGGCCAGAGGGTTTCTCTCTGTAAGCTTCAGAACATTCAAGAGTTTATTTATGAACTAAAGTTGCTGATGTTCACAGTGCCTAATGCAAAAGGTATGATACACTCTTCAGATTAGTAGGACCCTCTTACAAAAACACCACATTTACTGTGTCATGCACGACTGAGTTTCACCTTTCTTAGTAAATGGACCTTACTGAGCTATTTTAGGTGAAGAATATTTCGGTCTGGATCCATTAGGAATACAACTCTTGACTGTTTGATGTCAAACAGTTTATCCTCTTAGTAACTAAGGGTATTTTGTGTAATCACTCTTGAGAAGATGGGGAGATGAAAGAACTGGAAGTAAATTATCAACACGGGTGTACAGTTTGATTCAGTTTAAGATAATTTTTGCAAGGTGGGTATGAAAGGTTTTCTGTTTGTTGTTTTTTTTCTTCTATTTCCTTGTTTTCTTCACGGACATGCAGAATAAGACCTTAGAAGAAGCTGCCAGTCATTTTGTCCTAATAAACAGCAAACCTGTGCATTTGAACCTTACAGAAGACTCATCTCTGTGACATCATTATTTAAGTCGTCAAGTGTAAGGTCCTATTAACACAGTATTTCTTTCTAGAGATTAGTTCCTACAGGCATTGTGTTCCACAGTGGTTCTCAAAAACACTGGAACCAAAGACCACAATGTACTTGTGACACTCCAAGTGTTGGAAAACAGCTTTTTGTTCCTCTATCACTGTCTGTTAAAGAAACTTTTCAGAATCTTGAAAAAATTAGGTTTGATTTAGTAGAAAGCAAGATTTGTATCTCCTTGAGACTAATTCCTTCTGCCAGACAGAGGCTGCAGTCTGGATGAAAGATAAAGAACTCCTGGAACACTTACACTGTTTCCCGCAGCAGTGTCCCAGGCACTTTACCAACACAAGAAGTTGTTACACTCTAAAGCAGTTTTTCTGTTGTTGTTGTTTGGGGTTTTTTTTAAGATAAACAATAAATGGAAAAGGGATATAAAATACAAGTAAAAGTTTGGCCAAATCCTGACCAAGGATAATGTTTTATCTATTTTATCACGACCCCCACTCATGTCACCCATATCCTTCTTGTTGTTTGGCTGCCAAAAATGCATTGATCTTCAGCACAGAAAGGACAGTGAAATTTATCCTGGATAGGGCAGCACTACAAACTGATACAAACTTGTTTCTTAACACAAGGAATAAGTGTTTTCCCCCAATAACAAAGCTTCTGCCAAAGGCAGGCTGATAGCTTTGCTTATAAGAATAGAAAGGCAGGAAAGAGTACTTGGTCATGCTAAAAGCTATTTCTGCTTAGTCATGCTAAAAGCTTACCAAAAGATATTTTACAAGAGATGTGGGAGAGGAGGCAGTTTAAGGATGGGTATTTAAATCTTCAATAAAGGGGAAAGAAAACAGCCAGGAAAAAATTAAAGAATGTCCAGACAGGAGGTAGAAAACCAGAAATTAATATCACTGCATTTACATCTCTGAAAATACACTTCATAATCTGCAATAATACAATCAGTGTTAAATATCTATAGACTAGAACTGAAATTTGACAGTAAAATCCCATCACTGATTGTCCAGTGCAATGTCATAAAAAGAAATTAAGTCTTGTGCCTTGCTGTAACAACAAACAATTAAACATACCTGGATGAAAGAGATTCCCCAATGAAGACTTCATTGAGTGCTCTCACGGGTAAAAGATGTGGACCAGAAATGTCAGATCCTGCAGATATTGAATACAGCCGTTTGGATCACAGGTTTACAACCCAAATTTTTAGAAAAAATTCACATCTCATTGGAAGACAAGACTCTGCTGCCTGGGTTTGTATTGTAGACCTAATGCTCCACTGTCTTCAAGGACTCAATTTTTCATTGATTTAGGCTGTAGCCAGTCACTGTCCTTTACTGGATACAACAAATATTTGAACCAAGGTCAGTGAGGCAATGACTTTTAGGTTCAGACATTGCTTTCCCTGAAAACTCATGGGCAACCAGACAGAATGAATTCTTCTCTTCTGTCAGTTACTCTTCCAGCCAAGAAGTTACAGTGACTTAACAGCTATTTCTGATAAAGTTCAAAGAATTAGACTTCATATCATAAGTTAATTAAGGGGGATTAACAAATTTTTGTGTTGACAAGGACTTCTAAGTGAGCAAATGCAGTACTGGACACAAGTTAATCAGACAATTATGCATCTCAAACCATCATGTAAAAAACAATTGAAGGTGTTTGACAACCAAGGAATTACCCAGGAAAAGAATCTCACTTCTAACTTCTCATTTGCTTGCTGGTAGACTGAGACCAGCTTTTTCAATTGTGAAGTAATAAGTTAAGAGTACATGTGTACAAACACACACACACTCAAGTGGTTATACTAATTCTAAGAGACAGCATTTTAAAAAAGATCAGGTATTTTGACATTACATAAATTAACTGTGGGTACTGAAAACTGGTTCTAATTGTACAGTCCAGAATATACAAAAAAATACTCCCTTCTAAAAAACATTAATCTGGGTCTTCAGCTAATCTGAGCTGTCTCTCAAATGCAACACCCAGATTTCAAATACTTGAACTCTTACAAATCTGTATTTTCAAGTTATCATAGCAAAGTGATTATATTCTTGTAAGATTTTAACCTACCTTGATCCTGGAATCTTTCATTTATGTGAGCCCTGCTGTGTTGCTCTTGGCTCAGCTGCTGTTCATGTAAATCTACAGGGGTTGGGTTAATACCAGTTCCTTCGAGATACAATCGGATTCTTTGCCGCCACTGCCACCTATGACAGGAGAAAGAAGTTGGTATCAATAGCTGAAATATTCATTACAGAATGAGAATTATTCAAAGTCACATTTCAAGTTTTATAGCTTCCACCACGACTCCTAAATTCAGAAAGTTAAGCATACTAAACTGTAAACACTTTACACTTCCCGAGTTGCTACCTAATGTTTTTTGCATGTGTAAAGAGGACATTGGTCAAAAGTAGTCTAAAAAAACATATACATGACAAATCTTCTTTTTAGGCATGTGATTCTAACCTGTGATTGAATGACTGACACATGGATTTTGAGAATAAAATAGCTCTCAAGTATAGAGTAATATGTGCCATATTTTTAACGTATTTTGTTTGTAGATGTCCAGAAAAGCAGCTCTATCCGCCCCTTTATACATAAGGGCCACAAGCTATTTTAACAATCTCCCCTAGCCTAGGAATTTAGGATGCTTCAGAGGAATATAGTTGAAGCAAGAGAAGAGTATAAAAGTCATGATACAACATTCAGATCTTTTTATTTTTCCTTAGAGATATCAATTCCTTTTTCCTCTTACAGTTTAGAGATTTCATAAAACAAAATAGTAATAGTTTTGATTAAGAAAGCAAATCAAGAAGAATTTTTATGAGCACATCTTTTCCCCATTCATACTTTTGATATCCAGGGGACAGTCACCAGCTTTTCCTGAAATTACAACAAGGAAGACTTATGCTTTATATGACTACACAAATAGTTTTTCCTCACTGTCATCTTTGTAAAGCCTCACTCAACACATCCTATCTGCCCTTAAATTCCAAGCATGGTTTTAGGTAGTCAGGCAGATAGCTTGCAGTAAGTATCACTATACTGGCCTCCTTAAAATGCTCACACTAGAACACGTCACATCCCCACACAGAAAATGGGACTGTATTCCTATTATACCCCTATTCTGAGAACCTATTACACTACTGACCATCAAGAAAAGAAACATGGGTGATCTGATATGGTTTGTCCTTTATAAATCAATAATGTTGGTTTTTTTATGGGACTACAAGGTCAGTGCTTACATGGATTGTTACACTGACTGACACCTCAAGGGTAAGAAGAAAAGACAATTGCCCTTTTCCAGTCTCTGGCACCTCACCATCCATATACAACTGTAAGCCACCAAAAGTCCTTCCAGACAAGCTGATTCAGTTACCCACCTATTTTAAGCTTTCCTTGGGGCCAAATAAATCTGAGAACTGTCAAATGAAACCCCTGCTTGGGTTCTTTCTTAGGAATAACAATTCATATTATTTCAGAAAAAGAACTAGGGAGGTCCTTTCTCTTTCACATTGGTGCGGCTTCAGCTCCATAATGGGCAAAACCAGGAGTGTCGGCAATAAAAATATAACTTTGCTTCCAACAAAACATCAAAATTGCCTAGATTATCAGGGGGGTTATCTGCATGAGCACGAGTTTTACTTAAGCAACTTAGAATAACGGAGAGTAAAAAGCTTCTGTATTCTAAGTCTCAGAATATGCTATTTGAAAGTATCTTTTCATTTAGCAATACCTATTGAAACCTCTTCAGTTATTTGTCAGTCCTGGTGAACTGCATTCACCTCATTTCAGACTTTTCAATGAAAAAAAAATATAGTTACACTTCAAGCTACAAATTTAATATGATAGAAGTATAAACAAAACTCAACTGCTATATATTTTCAGGTGACTGATTTCTGTTTGATGGTTTGTCATCCTAAAAGTATTCCGGAAAGTTATTACCCCACAGAACAATGTCTCTCTTAAAATAATTATTAAAAAACTCTTCCCTAGTCTGTCCTTTAAAATCCAGCTTGTTTCTTCCTAATTCCAGTGAGATTCTTCTATTTGAAGAATATCTAGTATTGAAAACATCAAGCATGAAGAAAAGCTTTGGTTTACACTCATCTGTTAACAAAAGTTTAGCCACTCTACCTCAGTCACCAAAACTCCAGATGCAACACACTGACCATTTCCCGAGTGCATATGTTTCATTAGCTTCTAATGGCCATCACTGTACTACATATGCTTTTCAGTCTTAAAATATGTAAACTAATGTATACCCTTTACAGGCATGCAGCCCCTCATTTATGAATTTGCTAAGTCAGAAAAGAAAATCAATTACCGCAGGCCATAACAGAAGACTTTTTGCTGGAGCTGGCAGTCAATTTTATCCTTTGTATTCCAGTCTCACTCTTGACCACAAACTCATTTTCAACATGGTAAATAAACACGTACACCAAATTCACAATTTGAAGTATTAAGATTTTACTAAGCTTCACCTACTCCTTAGGCATTGCACATGCTTCATTAAGTATTTTATTCCAATCCCACTATGCTTTTGAAAACCAAAGATCAGTGAATCCTACCTGAACTCACCACGATAAAGCTTCTGTAGTGCTTCGGGAAATGAACGTGTGTATCTCACAGGCAAGCACAAGTGACCCTCAGATCTAGTAACAAAAAACGACACAGTATATCTGTGAAGATTTGGTACCTTTTAAAAATAAGGTTGTTTCTCCTACATTTCCCCTAAAAACTGACTGTTCATCTAGTAATCCTGCATGAATATATAAATACATGTATAGTTCCTGTCATCACTCTGGGCAAGAAATTCAAGCTTAATAAACCTGGCAAGTGAGAAAGTAAATTTCCTCCCTTTACCCAACTTAGTTCATATGAAACAGGTAAGCAACATGCCTAAGATCAAAAGAATCTCTCTGGTCAAAACCAGAAGACTAACCACTGCTCCCCTTTCACGAGTGATATTTGATAACTTGAAGGCACTTGTTATTTGAACCCTGCTATTCAGGCTTGATAATGCAGAATAAATTAACTGTTAATATCAAAAGTAGAAATCTAAATCTGGACTTCCCAGCAGACAGAGCCTTGGAGAATTCTGAGTTTTATTTGCCATTCATTTGAAGCTTATACTAACCAGTCATTACTAACACACTGCATCCACCTAACTGTAAGACTGATTCGGGCAGGTGGATGCAACTTGTGTGGAGTTTATAACAGGACAACTAAGTGCCAATAATTGGCTGAGGAGACTGTGTCCTCTGAGATATGACATGGTTTACATGAAGAAACTACAGCAAACTTCTTCATCTGAGGCTCTACCAGATCCACCTGCTTCATAAAGAGACAAAGTTTCTGTTCAGGCACCACACTTAGCTGCTTTTATGAAGTCCCTCTTCCTGTCTGGGTTCTATACTGCCATCCCTGGACTCAAACTTCTGGTTAGTAATACAAGTAAACCAGCTGCAAGTGCTGTTACACTGGTGCATGAAAACAGTTCAGCTTAACACAGTCATGCTTATCCAATACTGCTTAATGTCTTCTCAGATGAGACAGGGTAACTCATTGTGGAAACTCTTCTAAAAAAATAACATGTTAGCCTGAAATCTAGAGCCCACTAAAACAGACATTTACACTGCCAAATACTACAGGCATGCCTCAAATGCACACTGTGCCTGATATTAAATAAAGCACTTTTTCCCAAATATGTTTTTACCTTTCAGGATCAGTATTTACTCCAATGACTGGTTTAAATTTATCAAAAACCTTACTGGCTGCCAACAACATTGTACCATCACCTATAGAAAAAGCAAACCAAAAGTTAGTATCACTTCACATTCTAGTACCCAAACAAAACAGTCTCCATAGGTACTTCAGCATTACCACTCTGTGCTTTTATATCAACAACCAATTACGTAAGCTGGACAAAAATAAAATGGGACTGCAAAACTACTGACATCTTTCAAAGCAGAGCAGTGACAACTGAGTTCAAGATGGCAAATGTGACTGGAAAAAGCACAAGTTATCTGACAGCTATACATGCCCAGGCAACTGAATTTGACAGAAGCAAGCTTTAAAGGATTTATTGAAATTTCTCTATGTTTATCAGCAGGTAAGAGAAATTCTTTAATGAAAGTAAATTTAGAAAGTATTGCTAAACAAAGCCACAGGAGACAGGAAACAAAACCAAAATTTTACTGCAAATCCAATAAAAACCATTACTTTAGTTTCATTCCAGTTGTCCTCCTAGAAGGCACAATTTAAAGACCTTATTTGGCCCCAAATAGGCACACTTGGAAAAGAAGTCTTAGGTAAGTAGAAATCTTGAAAGTAGAAATCCTTAAATGTACTAGTTTCTCCAGATATTAGTATTTTTTCCTGGCTGTTAAACAGCAAGGCAACTATAACCTCAATCAGTCTTTGCAGCTAGATATAAGCTCTGAAAACCTCAGATGAGGTATCAGTTCCCAGCTGCTTGCCTCAACTATGACAAATTTTGCCCTAAACTGGCACTTTAGTCTCCAGCCTAAAGTAGTTCTTTGAAATCTACAAGAGTGTATTAGGATGCTTCACGAGTGTACAGATAATCCTTTCTCCCCACTCTGCATGGTGATCAGTAGCCAAGGGCAAAGTGGACTACTAAGAAGAGAGAAAGCCACAGTCAAGTCTAATTTCCACAGATGATTGAACATTATGTTAGAGCCCAGCGATACACTGCAGCAAATCCCCAAAGAACAACACTGAATGAACTGATGCAATCCAATATTAAAAATACACAATCAGGATAGTTGTTCTGTTTGTTCATCTAAAAACCACTAATCAGTGGCACAAGCTGCTCAGCATTTGCATATTTTTGCCTGTACCATCCAACCTGATATGCCAGTCACTGGAATTAAGTGTGAAATCAAGAAAGACAGTTTGAGCAAGGGGACCAAGTGGTAGTATGTTAGTCTACATCTCACATCCACCAAAAAAAAAGCTGGGTTTAGGGCTACATATAATCACCTGACAGCAAGGAATTTATCCTATTTATTTGAAAACTATAGTAAATTCCACAGTTTATACTGTTTTACACAGGACAATTAAACTTTTTCAAAGTGGCCATACACTGGGATTCACTTCCTGGTGCTACAGTTTTAAATACCAGAGGTAGACAAGACGGACGCAACCACTGCATTTGGTAATATTTTCTGACAATTGAATTAGCAATTTGCTTTCAAAATGTGCATACCTCAAGTTGTTTCACATGTTGCAAAGTATTTTTGAAAAACGTATCCACGAAAACATACTGAAACAAACGCTTCCCTTCAATAAAGTCATACCTCCTGCAGATATAACAGCATCTGCCCACCGAACTGTCTCTTCATTATATTCTCGACGTTTAACAAGGCGAACTTCGATCCTCTCATTCCTATAAAGTTCAAAAAAAGCCTGAATTCTGTCCTATATTGCTCATTGTCACATCCTTCTGAAAAGCTGACACTAACTAAGAAGTAGCAGTAGTAACTAAGGAGTAATTACAGGCATATTTAGATTATAAACACCTGACACACAAATCCTTTACACCTTGCTCATTTGTTTTCAAGATGATAACAGAGCGTGTTAGTTAACTGAACTGAGCTAGTTCACATTATGATTTTTTCAGGAACAACTGCTCATCTGCACTCTTTTGAGTACTTCTATTTTATTAGAGCTTGTAGCACAAAGCTTCCCTTTGTTATTTTACACTACCTATGGGTATTTCACTGTGTCTGAAATGCTCAGCATCCATACATTCTTACCTTAAACTGTCTACAACATGCTCCACGTTTTTTGTATGGATGCGATGCCGCTCCAGCAGACCAGCATAGTTAGATCCTTTCAAGGCAAGCTGTAAGACACAAATTGTTTTTGCAGAAGTTAATCACTACAGTAAGTGCACTTGAGTAATGCAAATAGCAGCTATAAAAAAGCATGTATTTTATCTCAGCACAGACACGTGCTTTTATAAGCATTCCATTAATTACATCTCTATATACACAGCAGTCAGCTTATATTGACTAGTTCATTAAATGAATCCCATGGCCACAGCAGCCAAGAATCACAGACTCTACACAAATAGGCAAACAAGCATACTACACTGACTTCCATGCAACTTCAGACACTTTGCTCTACATAAATGCATAGTTATACTAGGTATAGTTCTATCATGTCCTAAAAGCACCCAGACAGTTAGGTTATTACCATAAAAATTAGAATCATTGTGCTGTAGAGAAAGCAGACAATAGAAAAAGCAATAGGAATGATAATTAAGAAAAGGGGAGTCTGAAATACCTAGAGCATTACCCTTTAAATTGTATTTGAGCTAAGATGGAAGACTGCCAAGTGCTCACAAAGGTGACATTTTCTCTGCATGAAAAAAAACTTAAGGACAATCTACCTACTGCCTTTGGTACTGTTCCCTGGATTATATGCCAGGTTTTTCAAACAAGTTGATATCAATAACAAGACAGACAGTGCAGGTGCATTCTAGCCTCATCCTTCTTGGAAGCTGGAGAATTGGAATACTTAATGTTGACACACTTTTTAGACCATGGAAACACTTTGCAGTTTATACAGACAGATTCTTACAAGCAGGCAGGTGAGACTGCTAACTGAAGATTAGTTTTGCAACAGGTTTCTGTGCGAGTAATTCAGTCACCATCTGTTTGCATTCGTTTTTCACCTTATTTAGAGTGCTCATTTGGGGCTGGTACTGCCGAATTTGCCTTTGAATGGAGATTAAGCAAGTGAAAGAGAGAGAATGAAAAGGATGTTAAGAAAAAGGTGTTTATAAATACATTCATAATGAAAGTGATCCTACTTTGAGCAGCAGGCTCCTGAGGCTCCTTCTAGCCTGAATTAATCTCCAATTATACTGTCACTGCTTCCTTTTCCCTGACCAGTTAAAACCAATTTATCAGCACAGAAACAGAACTTCTTCTAGAGTTTGTGTAAAGAAATTTATCTGCGCCAGAAGCTCTGAACAGGCACTTCCAGCAATTTATTCAAGTGCCTTTACTCAAAGTTTTATAACATTCCAAGAGAAAGTGATGCCAGACAGCCTCGCCTAATCCCATTTTCACAGACTCACACTCTACAGAACTCCCCAGTGAAGGGGACAGGACCAGCAGGATATGACAACCAAAGTCAACTGCAATCCAATACCCAAAAATGCAATCTTTATTCATCTGACACCCGTTGTTGTCAAGAAATCCAACCACGAGCTAAGCACAAAGACAGACTCAGCACTGAAGAAATTACAGAAAATAATGGAACTAGCTGCTCCGGAACTGCATTGCTGTCCCCCTCAGTGTGTTTACAACTGGCGATTAACTTGCAGGAACAGAATCTTCAGGCGGTCTTACAGCTGGGATCAGGAAACCACTTCCAACAGAGACTCCCAGGCTGCCTGGATGCCATCAACATGATCACACACAGACATGATCATAATGTGGATGATCAGAAAATAGCCAGCCAAATATTTCAAGTCATCTTCATAAAGCTTGCTGGTACTGGCTTACCGGGGTACAGGGTGTTATGTCCCATTAATTGCGTCACACACCTAAACCCTTTGTTTCTACTCCTGAGCTATAATGCTTGTGCACTCCATACACCTCTTGCTCCTCCAGGGTCCATCGGAACTTGAACGGTGCCACTGTGGGCTCTGGGGACGGAAAGAGTACACGAGTACACGAGTTACAGTAGTTACAGCACTGCTCATTGCTGGGTCTGCTGCCAGACTCTCATGATCCACCGGGAGGGGAAAGGAGAAAGTGGAAAGGAGAAAATAAGGTATTTGCCTCCCACAGACATCTGCTGCTGAGCACCATAGGTCTAATTTGTTAGAAGAACTTTCAATTGCATGTTTGAAGCACAAACTGATCTTGCTTTACCACCAAAGGAAGAAGAAATCCACAAGCAAATAATCTCTAGAAAACACAGTGTTACTAAAATCAGGGTCCCCATTCATGCTTCCTTTAGAAATATCTGCTGCAAATGAAACACAAGCACCTGACAAGCAGACTGCTGCAGCAGCACATGTTTTCCAGGCTTTTGTTAGTTCCACACAACACAGAAACCACAAACTGCATCTTGCAATTTTATGTACCTCATTTATTTGGCTTATTTGTCAGCATGCTATCTTTCAACTTGGTGGAAAAGAGCTTTTATTTCAGAATGACAGTGTAATAAATCTCTGTGTGATCACTGTGGTACTTTTGAGCCACCAACATCAGTGGTGAGCCTACAGCTAACATTTCATTGCAACGCTAGCAAGGAAAGGTACAGGTGGTGCCAGTGCTATGGAAGAGAGTCTGTTCTGTAACTTACATTTACCAGAGCTGTGTTAAATTATTTCATCAACAGCTTCAGAAAGCAGAAGAGGCTGCTCAGCGAATAAGCTACCAGTATCTTGACAACTGGATGAACAATTTCAGCAGCACTGCAGAACAGGTACAGAATATGCAGGTCTCCTCTTTGAATTTAGCTCTAGAACAAATAAGCAAGTATCACTAAGCAACAAGATAAATGAAACATTAGGGCCCGGAGTTTAAATGGCTAAACTACATCTATGGAGCTAACAAATTGACCTAATTTGCAAAAAGCTACAGAGATTACAACAGTCCATTCATCTCCAGATTCATCCCTCTAGTTCACAGATAACTAACTCACAAGTTCATTCTTCTAAGAACTCACAAAGGGACAGCCTGTCTGAGCCTAACCACAGTCGAGTATATCAAATAGGAGTGCTAATCATCAGCTGCTTCTCACTTAACTACTCCCAAGAACCAGAGAAGTGCCTACAGTTCTTGTCGTCAGAGGCCACAGAATCAGAGTGGTTGAACTGGAAGGGACCTTTGGAGGTCAACTGGTCCAACCCTAGCTTAAGCAGGGCCACCCGGAGCTGCCTTTCCAGAACCATGTCCAGATGGCTTTAGAAGATCTTCTTCACAGATGGAGCCTCTATCACATCACTGGGCAAACTGTGCCAGTGCTCAGTCATCCTCACAGTGAAAAAGCATCTCCCAGTGTTCAGACAGATATACTTGTATTTCAGCCTGTGCTCACTGCCTCTGCTCCTGCCTCATATCCACAACCTGAATAACACACTAAAACTGTGACAAATACTGCTTCTCAAAAGAGCTTCCCACTGAGGATAAAGAGTAAGATAAATTGAGACCACCATATGCTTTTTACTTTGAAAGAGCTGAAGGCAAAGATCAGGCAGTCCAGTTACTGTGTGCGTGATCATCTCCCCGAAGAGCCTGGCAGGAACTTGGGATGTACAGAAAACCCAAGACTGCAGGACAGCCTGGCTCCTGAGCCCCCTGATCAGACAGACCCCCAAACCCATGACAGGCTTGGGTCTTACCAACTGACTCCTCAAAAAGGCACAAAAGGTGTTAGCTTCTGCATGAAGATAACTTGCAAATTCTTCTTCCTTTGGAGGAAGCTTTGATTTGCAATTAGGCCTATTAATGTGACCTCAATACCCTGCAAGATTGCAAAATAAAATGCATTATAAACATGCATAATAATATGAGAGCTGTTATAGCGAAACGTGCATGAAAAACAGAGACAAACTGGACACAAATACATTCACGCATAACTTCAGTAGTTGTCTTAAACCTCACAGCAGAAATGCAATGCAAAGCAGGCTTTCAAGTAGATCTTGCACTGGAAAACACACTCAGGGGAACAGAACATGTTCTATGATGGAGATACTTTTCCTTGGAAGACTGAAAGAGAAAGGATCTAGACTGAATGTCTAAATATACCTCTTCTTGTATATTCTGGCCTGATCCTTCTTTAAGGAAAGGATAATTTTTCACAGGGTTCCTTAAACAGTCACTTAGGCAAAGGACATTTGCTTGACTGTCTTCCTTCTGGAATCTTAGCTCTTACCTCTGGCAAGTCTCACCTTACTCAGTTTAAACTGTGGGTCTGTTGTCCTTGAGTAATGCTGGTCCTCCAGGAAAATGCTGCAACACAAGGACATGGCTTCTAGACACAAATACAGAAGCAACACGAAGCCAAGCAACTTGTGAATACTCATGTTGTCTACATATGCGGATTATGACCTTTGATTTAGAGAATAGGGAAAGAAGAGCCATAGGTGAGTCTTACCGACATTGCTAACCTAAGCATTAGGATAAAAGTGTATGTTCTCTCAATACAGTAACGTGAATATTGTCCAGAGTGAAACAGTCAATTGAGCGCTTTCTACATCTCACCCCAGTACACTGAGATCAGAGAATCATAGAATTATTTGGGTTGGAAGGGACATTATTTGGTCATCTAGTTACAACTACCCTGCCACAGGCAGTCCTGCCCCAGATAGTGACACCTTCTACCAGACCAGGTTGCTCAAAGCCCTACCCAAACTGGACTAACCTTCACGTAGCCTTAAACTGCCACTGCATCAGGGTGGAGTTAATGCCTCAGTGTACCAGTCATTTGTTTTATGACTGTTGTTCAGTCAAGAGTTAAACTAAATGTCTGACAACAAAGCAGAAGAAAAAAAAAAGGAGGAAAAAAAAGAGAGAGAAAAAAAGCACAGATCTAGAAACAATTGCTCTCTTTCAAATTTCTACAATGAACTTGCCCACACATGCACTCAAGCAGGAAAACAAGAACAGATCACTGCTTTCTAATCTACCTACCTTTCTGTTCTACAGAAAGAAGCACCAAACAATCCAAATGGATTTAAAGAGCAACAGCTAAACACAGAAATTTGAGTTTTAACCTAGAGAAGAAAATGCTATTAACATTATAGGTATAATAATCTAACTGTTTCTAAGCAAAGTACAGGACTTTTAAAAGTTCAGTATTTTCAGAAATTGTCTCTCA